GCCGCTGCGCACCGGCCGGCGGTGCCTGCTCTGCAGGAGAACGCTCTCCCCACAAACACCTGCTGTCCCAGGGCGCGGAGGGGCGAGCGCTTATTTTGGCCCCAGCACGCCGCGTCTCCTCGGCCTCTCTGCGCTCCTTCCTGCCGGGCCAGCGGGCGCTGAGGAAGCTGGAGGCCCAGTGAGAGAGGGCATGCCCACAGGAGACGGACAGGCTGGCAGTCCCTCTCCATGGAGCAGTGTCTGTGAGCAGCGGCTCCGCGGGGGCAGGTTCTCGGGAGCCATCCGTGTCTCAGGGTCAGGAAACCCACTGTCCGTGGAGGGACACCAGCCCCAGGGACTCAGGTCCACACCGCCACCTGCCAGCCGGGGCCTGTTCCTGGCTCCGCCTCCACAGCTCTGCAGCTCTGCCTCTGCTGTGTCCACCAACTGCGGCACCAGTTAAGGGGTTTGGAGGGTGAATGTGGGAGCACCCCACAGTGCTGAGCGCACAGGGAACGAGGGCACTGGGCTGGCCGAGCCCTACCCCCTCTGCCCCCTCTGCCCCCTCGGCCCCCTCGGCCCCCTCCAGGCGGCGCTCCCGCCAGGCTGAGCCCTCAGTCCTTGGCAGGAGACTCTCCCAGGGCAGTGGGGTTTGCAGGAAGAGAAGAGCAGCCTGTTTGCAGTCCCCAGATGCACATGCTCCATCACAGAAGAACCAGACACGTGACGTTTGTGCCACGTGTGTGCGTTAAAAATACCCAAACGGCATATTGGTTGTCAAGAACGGAAGCCAGGGGCCTGCTCTGCAGTGCAGACTCCCCACCAGGAAAGGTGCAGAACCGAGCTTTGCGGCCCGCGGGCCGCCCCGGCCCTGCCACCCCACGCCTGGGCAGCTCCTGGCACTCTGACACTTCCGTTTTCAGAGTGAGGACTCAGACTGAGAAGCAGGTCACCCCCACGACACAGCCCCCCAATGCAGGCCCCCAGGGCGCAGCCTCCCCACGCGGCTGCAGCCTCATTTCCCTGTGAGATGCCCTTCCCTGCGCCGAGCCGGCCGGCCTCTGCGAGCTGCCGCGTACAGCACAGCCCGCAAAACGCTTGGACAGGATTCTGGGGGCGAGAGCCATCCGACACAGAATGCTGACGTCTCTCCTCCAGCCCTCGAGGGCTGGGGCTGCGGGGCGGGCTCCCTCCGAGAGAAAGGCCTGTTGTTCGGAGCGTGAGGGAGAAAGACCAGGACGACAAAGGCGACGCAGGGCGGGCGCAGGAAGGGCCGAGGCCGCCGCGGGCCGAGGAGCGCAGCGGTTCCTGGGGGCGGGCGGGGCCACATCCTTGCAGCCGGTAAACCCTGAAGGCATCTAAAGGGATGGCCTCCTGGGCGGGACCGTCGCCGCTCCAAGGGCACCCCGAGTTCACTCTGCCCGGTGCCGCTGGGCGTGGGCCCAGACGTTCGGCTCAAGGCAGAGCCCGCGGGGAGGAAGTCTGAGGAGGCGCAGGCTGCTGGGGGCCTGAGGCCCGCCGTGGCCACCAGGACACGATGGTCAACACACCAACTGATGGCAATGAAGCCAAGAGCTCAGAGGCACGTGCAGGGAGAAGCAGGGGCGCAATGGGCCAAGTGCCACCATCCGAGGCCTCACCCTCTCGTCCTCCTCACCCTCCTCATTCTCCTCGTCCTCCTCACCCTCCTCACCCTCCTCATCCTCCTCGTCCTCCTCACCCTCCTCGTCCTCCTCGTCCTCCTCACCCTCCTCCTCCTCCTCACCCTCCTCGTCCTCCTCACCCTCCTCATCCTCCTCACCCTCCTCACCCTCCTCATCCTCCTCACCCTCCTCGTCCTCCTCACCCTCCTCCTCCTCACCCTCCTCGTCCTCCTCACCCTCCTCATCCTCCTCACCCTCCTCATCCTCCTCACCCTCCTCATCCTCCTCACCCTCCTCGTCCTCCTCACCCTCCTCCTCCTCACCCTCCTCGTCCTCCTCGTCCTCCTCGTCCTCCTCGTCCTCCTCACCCTCCTCGTCCTCCTCACCCTCCTCGTCCTCCTCGTCCTCCTCGTCCTCCTCACCCTCCTCGTCCTCCTCGTCCTCCTCACCCTCCTCACCCTCCTCGTCCTCCTCCTCCTCCTCACCCTCCTCGTCCTCCTCACCCTCCTCGTCCTCCTCCTCCTCCTCACCCTCCTCGTCCTCCTCCTCCTCCTCACCCTCCTCACCCTCCTCACCCTCCTCGTCCTCCTCGTCCTCCTCGTCCTCCTCACCCTCCTCATCCTCCACGGGTCCATCAGGCCTCACCCTCCTCGTCCTCCTCCTCCTCCTCATCCTCCTCACCCTCCTCATCCTCCTCACCCTCCTCGTCCTCCTCACCCTCCTCCTCCTCACCCTCCTCGTCCTCCTCGTCCTCCTCGTCCTCCTCACCCTCCTCGTCCTCCTCACCCTCCTCGTCCTCCTCACCCTCCTCGTCCTCCTCCTCCTCACCCTCCTCGTCCTCCTCCTCCTCCTCATCCTCCTCACCCTCCTCATCCTCCTCATCCTCCTCGTCCTCCTCGTCCTCCTCACCCTCCTCGTCCTCCTCACCCTCCTCGTCCTCCTCGTCCTCCTCACCCTCCTCGTCCTCCACGGGTCCATCAGGCCTCACCCTCCTCGTCCTCCTTAGGCCTCACCCTCCCCGTCTTCCGCGGGTCCGCCAGGCCGATTGTCACAGAAGCAGATTCCAGAGGAGC